ATACACCGAATATACTAGACCTATTGCTTATAGTATCTGAGATATGGACTTGACCACCAAAACTTAACCTTGTTCATTGATCCATGAAATGAGGTCGAGGTCAAGTGAAAACTGTCTGACGGGCATGAGGACCTTGCAAGGTACGCACATACCAAATATAGTTGAACTATTGCACACAGTATTAGAAAAAAAGACCAAAACTCAAAAACTTAACTTTGACCACTGAACCATGAAAATGAGGTCAAGGTCAGATGACACCTGCCCGCTAGACATGGTCACCTTACAATCATTCCATACACCAAATATAGTAGACCTATGGCATACAGTATAAGAAAAACAGACCAAAACACAAAAACTTAACTATAACCACTGAACCATGAAAATGAGGTCAAGGTCAGATGACACCTTCCAGTTGGACATGTACACCTTACAGTCCTTCCATACACCGAATATACTAGACCTATTGCTTATAGTATCTGAGATATGGACTTGACCACCAAAACTTAACCTTGTTCATTGATCCATGAAATGAGGTCGAGGTCAAGTGAAAACTGTCTGACGGGCATGAGGACCTTGCAAGGTACGCACATACCAAATATAGTTGAACTATTGCACATAGTATTAGAAAAAAAGACCAAAACTCAAAAACTTAACTTTGACCACTGAACCATGAAAATGAGGTCAAGGTCAAATGACACCTGCCCGCTAGACATGTACACCTTACAATCATTCCATACACCAAATATAGTAGACCTATGGCATACAGTATAAGAAAAACAGACCAAAACACAAAAACTTAACTATAACCACTGAACCATGAAAATGAGGTCAAGGTCAGATGACACCTGCCAGTTGGACATGTACACCTTACAGTCCTTCCATACACCGAATATACTAGACCTATTGCTTATAGTATCTGAGATATGGACTTGACCACCAAAACTTAACCTTGTTCACTGATCCATGAAATGAGGTCGAGGTCAAGTGAAAACTGTCTGACGGGCATGAGGACCTTGCAAGGTACGCACATACCAAATATAGTTGAACTATTGCACATAGTATTAGAAAAAAAGACCAAAACTCAAAAACTTAACTTTGACCACTGAACCATGAAAATGAGGTCAAGGTCAAATGACACCTGCCCGCTAGACATGTACACCTTACAATCATTCCATACACCAAATATAGTAGACCTATGGCATACAGTATAAGAAAAACAGACCAAAACACAAAAACTTAACTATAACCACTGAACCATGAAAATGAGGTCAAGGTCAGATGACACCTGCCAGTTGGACATGTACACCTTACAGTCCTTCCATACACCGAATATACTAGACCTATTGCTTATAGTATCTGAGATATGGACTTGACCACCAAAACTTAACCTTGTTCACTGATCCATGAAATGAGGTCGAGGTCAAGTGAAAACTGTCTGACGGGCATGAGGACCTTGCAAGGTACGCACATACCAAATATAGTTATCCTATTACTTATAATAAGAGAGAATCTAACATTACAAAAAATCTTAACTTTTTTTTCAAGTAGTCACTGAACCATGAAAATGAGGTCAAGGTCATTGGACATGTGACTGCCGGAAACTTCGTAACATGAGGCATCCATAAACAAAGTATGAAGCATCCAGACCTTCCATCTTCTAAAATATAAAGCTTTTAAGAAGTTAGCTAACGCCGCCGCCGCCGGATCACTATCCCTATGTCGAGCTTTCTGCGACAAAAGTCGCAGGCTCGACAAAAACTTACGGCATTATATCAATAATAGCTTTAACAATAATATCAATAATAAATGCAGTGTTTTCGTTTAAAGAATAAATTCAATATATGATAACAAAAAATCTACCTTTCAATAATTGTTAACAACCTTTATACTGTTTGCCTATTTTGAATTCTGGCAGTCACTGTGATCTTTCAAAAAATATTACTTTAGGTTGCACCTTTGTAAATATAGACAATGCAATTTCACTAAGGAACTCCTTTTACTACCCCTCCCAGGCTCCCTTCATTTTGGGTCTTCTTCAGAATTTAATTTCACTATTCATGTATATTTATACTGGTAACATTTCCAAGTTATGTCTCTACCAGATGAAACATCAAGATCATATCTGGAAACCAGTAGGTAAACCAAACAAAATATCTATGAATATTATATATCTCCCATAAAAGAGGCATGGTTTGTGCAAATGTATTTACAAAGTGCAACCTTAAGCTTGTGAAACATTGAATCTTGCATCACATGCTTATTATTTGCAAAGCTTAAAAAAGGGATTATAAAAGTGTCATCTACCTTAATTTTGACATGTATCTTTCAACACATTATCTGATCTGCTCATAATGAATTTATCCACACTTCCGCCTTCTTTCACAAATGTAGTTTTTACAAATGTTTTTTATACCTTAAGCCAAATGTTGGAAAAGTGCTTTACATTATGCAAAATATTTTAGCAATCCATCGTAAAGTGCCCCTGTTAAAATAGCTTTTTTTTTAAAAAGTTATAAATAAGAATAATTGATTTGTGACAAACATTTAAAATGTGCTATTAAAAAAAACCCACTCAAAAGTCAATGAACCATGACAAAAGGAATAGAACCAAATAATTTGGGAGATAAAAGATATGCAAGTGCTAATACAACTGCATGCTAAATATCAATGACTTATCATAAGTGTTTTCCCTTAATTACAAACTTTAACATTAAAACAATGAAATAGTTTAAAGTCAATAGACCATGACTAAGGGTGTGGATGGGGTTTACAGAGTAGAAAATAATGAAACAAACCCAAAATAATAGAGAAAAAAAAAAGCAAAAAAATAAGAATAGAGAATAATGGGATGCACAAGTATAAAGAATAACTTTGGAAAATAAAAGAAGTATGTAATATAATACTGACTACAGAAATGAGGGATAAACAGAGTAAAAAATCATATGATTACAGATAAATTAAATAGTAAAGTAACTTTTATGAGAATTTTACAGAATAAGCATTATTTTTAAAGATAGTCATTAAAGAAAAATGCTCCAAAAAATTAAAGACTATGGAAGTTAAGGATCCCCCATCCAGACCCTAATGACTGAGGGGGTGAGTCCAAATAATCTCCATGGAAATGAGACATGCCGATACTTATACAAAACTGCATAACAAATATCCTTGACTTATCATAAGTGGTTCCCCTTACACTCACCTAATCACAAACTTAACCATGTGAAGTTTCAAAGTCAATAGACCATGACTGAGGTATGGTGGGAGTCAAATAATTTACATGGAAAAGCAGATGTGCCAATGCTTATAAAACTGCAAACCATATATCATTAATTAACCATTAGTGTTTTCCCTTAAACTGACCTAATCTCAAACTTTAGCATGTAAACTATCCAAAAGTTCTAAAGACAATAGACCATGCCTGAGGGGCGGAGCCAAATAATCTACATGGAAATGAGATTTACCAATGTATATACAACTGTGTACCAAAATATCATTTATTTACCATTAGTTGTTCCCCTTTAACTGACCTATTCACAAACTTAAACAAATTGTTGTCTCTGTCAAAGCTGTCCCAAGAAACAGCATACCTAAGTCTCGCTTTTCCCTCTGTCAAGGTGACACAAAAAACATGGCCAAGTGAGCTAAAAATCTATAAAATGTCATGGATATAGTTGGTGCAAGATACCAACTTCTAAGAAATGTATGGTATTCACTACATGATGGTAGCAAGCAGGGTAGCACTAGCTAGAACTCCCAGTTTCCTCTGTGCAGAGTGACTGGTTAGTGACCCATAAGCATAAGCACAAAGCTCACACCATGCATTTATGTTATTAAAGCCAGCTAGCACACTACAGAGGGTGTCTGAGGGTCAGAGGGCACATATACTAGAGGAAATTTTAAAGCAAAAGCATGCATTGATACCATTAGAAAGGATAATATAAAGACTTTAAGAGCAAGTTCTACAAAGCACTGCAGAACTTGTTTTCACAATCATGCAAAATTTATTAGAACATGTCAACTAGAGGCTCTAAGGAATCTGTATCACTCAATAGGCATATTTCATAAAATTAATGATCATTTTTGTTGTTAACAGTTTCTCTGTATCTACTATATACAAGTGATGAGAAAAGCTCTCATGGGCCAAGTGAGTTAAAAAGAACATATTAATCAACTGAATCAAAAGTGACAGAATACCATTTTCACAAATGGGGGAAATGAGTCACTTTAGTTGAATAATTGAAAACAGAAAATGATATCCTTGACCTTTGTTCAAAATACTTTTAGATAAATAAGATGGATTTAAATGCTATACTTTCTAAAAACAAAATAGTTTTCTTGACAAGTATGGTAATACGCATACAAATAATTTTATAATTTCGTATAATCTTCACCCAAAAATTGAATAGATAATACAATCTAACCTATTAAGTATTTATGCAGTCATTGAACTATAAAGTTAAATTAAGGACAAATATGACAAATATGGCAGAAAGAAACTTCATACCATAACCCATCTGTATAAAAAAATAGATTATACAGGTCTTTTGCCTACTGAAATATAACTTTTTATACAAATAGTTTAGGCTGAAGCCAGATTAGATTCCCTATGTCTTCCATAATGTAACATTTGTTGCAGTTCAGAAAACAATTGGAAATTGTATGTTAAAAAAAAAAATAAAAATTACAAACTGTAATATTTCAAACATACTAAATAATAATATTAAAAAAACTTGTCTAAAAGACCATAGAGATTCCAATACCTTTTACAAAGTGGGAAAACTTCCTCCAGGTGAAGATGTAAACTCACATTTTAGTCTGCAAAAGCATTGTTTATTAGTTGAATTTGGGTTTTAAACCAGATTTTAGTAACTGCCAGTACTGAGATTGGTACTTCTCATTTGCAGTTTTATAAAAATTACTGCTACATGGTTTATGCATTTTTTTCAACCTGAATATTCTCTTTCTGATGCAAACAGGTCAAGAGACACAAAACCCTACTGAAACAGATGTTTTATAGTTATATGAGCCATATGTAACCATCACTTGGCTATACATTTCAGTTACAAAAAGCAATATTTTACAATCAAGACTCTTTCAAATAGTTTTCTCTTCCATGCAGGAAAAGACTCTTTAGTGTCTTAATATATATGCTGTCATCCCTTCTTTCTTTTTTTGCCATTTGGAAATGGTAAAACTGAATTGCAATTAAAGGCATTAATTCAAATGGCATATTTAGAGGACCATCTACTGATACTGGTATTACACGGAAAAGTTTTTCAGAATCATTGAGTGACTCAATTAGCACTTTCTCACCAATGTATCTGTCAAGCATGCTAAGTTTAAAATTTTCTGTTACTAGTATCAAAACAAATCTTGCAGATTTGAATAATTCATTAGTACTCTGTAGATGTGTAACACCAGGTTTAACAAACTCTTTCAATAATTCTACAGCAATGTCAGGTATAAATTCCTTGAGATGATTTCTAAATTCTGTTGCCACCTCTTGATCTTTTTCAGCATTCAATATAACAGCATCTAATACTGCTGGAAAAAGGTCAAATTAATTGATGAAAACATAAAAATCATAATATTACTAGTAAGAAGTATCCTCCACTACAAACAATCACATTGGGTTGCAGTCTCTCTTACATTTACCCTATGCCAATAAATTAATTGAATAAGTTTTTTTGTTCCTAATATTATATACAAAAATTCTTCAAATTATCATGATCATCATTAATTTTCTTTGATGACTGCGAGCAAAAGTGTAAACTATCATATCAAGGTCTAAGTGTAAATCGTAATACACAAGCATCAGGGTTATTCATTTAGTCATTTCTTGCTTATTTGGTTGTATGTTAAACAGTTTGAAGAACATTTAAATTTATTAAAATGTTTACATTAGGAACTTGTTACTATTGTGCAGAAAATGTTACTAGTGACAAAAACGATTGTACGTGTTATGACCTGACGTTTTCTTTGTTGATGCAAGTCATGACCTGAATTTTCATTTTCAGAGATTGACAGGTATGGTTAAATGATTTAGTGTATTTTTTTATTTTCAGAGATTGACAGGTATGGTTTAATAATAAAAACTTTTTCTTTCAGAAATGGTTAATACAGACTTCCTTCCATTACCGTTTTTCCCTTTGTACTTGTATAGTGCAGATTTATGATTTGTACAAGAGGGGTCAGGTTAAGGTCACTGCACACAGAAAAACTGTCATAGAATCAGAGTAGGGAAGACAATTGAGGCCAACCTTAAAAATATGTTTGTTTGCAGTTTTCCGACTGTACCTTCAGACTGCAGGGTCGGTAGGTAGGAAAAATATTTTATTTTATCAGCCAGAATAAAGTTTAAACAAGTAGTTTAACACAAACCAAGTTTCTTGTGAAGAAAAAATATTTTAAAACAACAAACACTGAAAACCAACATGAAATGAACAGGCATTTTCAGGTAAACACCATTTTAACCAAAACTGAAACTTAACATAGTGTCATTATACAATTTATGACATAAATTTATGGTATTATGAAATACTGGAACACTTATAAACAAGGAATGACTAGAATTGTTGTAAAGAAACATATTCACTGACATATATGCATCTTTACTAGAATGTTTTCATGAGTAGAGTATTTGCATCATAAAAATGTAGATATTAAAGATTCAAAAGACAATTTAGGAGTGTGTTAAAAAAAATCAACCATTGAATCTTCCTCAATTGAAAAAAAGACAACTTAAAAAAAAATATATTAGACATCTGACATGAAGGTTATATTTGGAAAGATATGTTGATGCCAGGCTTTAATTAAAACAAACAAAAATCTTAAGTCTAGCTTTGGGGTGAAATCCATAGCACCCCATTAAAAGTAAATGGTCTGTACTGAAATGTTTTGACTGCATAAAAAAATAGCAGCATAGCTCCTAGCTAAGGACATATTTTAATTCAATTCACACAGGCCACACAGTTTGGGTATATTTAATATTGTAAGAGAGAGAATAATTGCAATGAGTGGGACAGCCCCCCTTATCCTAAAGGAGCAAAGATAGATTTGATACAGAAAGAATATATTTATTTCTCAAGCCAACCATTCATTTTCTCTACATCTTTGTGTAGTTTGTGTGGCTTCTTATTGATTTAACATTTCAAATGCGTCCTTCCACCGTACAGGCGTGTTTACAGTTATCCATGAAGTCACGGAGGAGTCTGTTTCCTCTTTGTCGTCTTCACGACGATTTAAAGAAAATATGGCATACTTCAGGCTGGTGTCGAATTGTTGAACCACTGATATTGGTTCCATAAAGTCAGTCTCAAAAGATTCTGTATCCGATTTGTTTAAGACAGAAACGGTTATCGTGTCGGTTTTATGAATATCCGCTGCATCATCATCAATGATATCATCGAAGACATCATTCCGTGTGCAATTCTGCCTGAATCAGTACGTATAAACAGTTTACTATGAAACTTTTCTGTGTATTATTTGTCTTAAAATTGACAGAAGACGACAGAATAAAGTACTCCTCCATGACTTCGCGGATACCTGTAAACAATCTCCATGTGCTTTACCATTAAAGGGTCCGATGAACGCTTGACAGGAAGGGAAGAAAAACCGAACTTCAAACATGTAATTGACCTAGACTCGAAATCAATTCCGGAAACGATCCGAAATTCCGGATCGAGTCAATTGAAGTATTAAAAATAATTTCTTCAAATTAAAAGCAATAAAATGTTCACAGTCGGGTGGATTTTCGAAGGTCGTCGGTAAACTGCAAACAAACAATATTTTAATTTAAGCCTGAAGTAAATTTCTTGTAGATTTGGACTTAACATACATTACACAAGGGATTTTCTTCTATAAAATGTCATTGTACAAGTGTTTTACAATACAAATTAAAGAACCTTAGTGAGCGCGCTCACATACCCCACGTCCCCACATTGTCACTGGAGAAATAAAATAACAGTAAGAAAAAAAAATTGTATAAGAAAAAAAAATTGAATCATAATTTCCTGTCGATATGCACATCTACATAGTATGTCCTTAATATCTACAAAGTTTCATGAAATTCTGTTGTGTGGTTTTGGAGGAGTTGCGATGACAAACTGTTGCAGTAGTATAATGGGCAAATAAGTTCAAAGGGGCATAACTCCTGGAAAAAAAATTGAAACATAATTTCCTGTCGATATGCACATCTACGTAGTATGTCCTTATTATCTGAAAGGTTTCATGAAATTCTGTTGTGTGGTTTGAGAGGAGTTGCGATGACAAAAGGTTGCAGTAGTATATTGGGCAAATAAGTTCAAAGTAGCATAACTCCTGGAAAAAAAATTGAATCGTAATAACCAGTCGATATGCACATCTAAGTAGTATGTACTTATCATCTGAAAAGGTTTCATGAAATTCTGTTGTGTGGTTTGAGAGGAGTTGTGATGACAAGCAACAGGACTGACGGACTGACGGGTCAAAAACATTATACCCTCCGCAACTCATTGCGTGGGGTATAATAAGCCATTCAAATATATAATACATTTTCTTCTTTTTTTGTCAACTTTAAATTGAAATTGTGATGTTTATTAAATTTGATTAACCAAGATTTTACCACACATCCACCAATATGTTTTTTTTTTTTTTAAATACATTCATGACACCAGGGAATCACAATTTGCAATAGGATATTAGGTCAATGTGTCAGTTTTCACTGAAATCCTAGCACAACAATTATTTCTCAAAATTTGTGGTTTTTTAAACAAAATTGATATTTTTCTTAAATTTATAAACCAATTTCCATTAGAAAACAGAATGCACTAATAAAGGCATCTTTTATACAATATAAAGACATTCTTAATTCTCAGGATGCTTTACAAAAAATACCTTGATTTAATGAATTCTGACTGTGTTGGAAAGAGATTTTTCATCTCCAGGATGCTTGACAAAATGTACTCAGATTTCCTGTCATCTGGTATAAGCTCAGTGTGTGAAACCTTTTTTTCTTGGAACTCACCAATTTGGCGAGCAGCTTTTCATTTCAACTCGCCAAATTGAAATCCCACTAGCCAGCTTGGCGAGTTTCTAAAATTTTGAACTCGCCATCTTATTTGTACGTTATTGTATGTAATAATCATTTTTAGAAATAGCTTTATTCTAGGTTTACTTATATATTAGGTTGAAGCTTTTCAGGAATAACTGTGATTTCCTTTTCTCATTGACAGTTTTTATGTATTAATTTTGTTCAGTGGCTTCTCATTCAGGAGTGCTTGGTCAATAGAAAGGGGTTACTGGTATTTATATAATACCCTAGATAGGGTATAATAAGTATAATATATAATAATCTAAATAGGGTTAAACAGATTAACTCATGAATTTAATTTAATTTGTGATTTAATAAGAAATCACATGAAAAATGATATCATTTAAGCAACAATTCATGGGTTTTAACTTTTCTTGATATCTGGTTATATATTATAACTGTTAGTTTTAGAGGGACTATATAAACCAAGGACTTATAAATTTTCTTTATCTTGAAAAAAATGCTTTAACATGTTTAATATCCAAAGTTGCTACTGTTGACCATAATTAATGCATTTTTCAATATTTATGCTTTTTAAAAGAAAAACAAATATTGTTCTGCAATGTACACTGTTAAGATTATTTTGGTTACCTTTTCCTTCCTTTATGTCATTTAAAAGCTGAATTAATAAAGCAATGTACACTGTAAAGATTTTTTTTAGTGACCTTTTCCTTCCTTTCATGTTATTTAAAAGCTATTATTAGAATTAAGTTTTTATTTACAGTTTATAGGAAATTTACTCTTGATTCAATCTTCAAAACATATATTAAAATTACATGGAATAGGATCCCAGTTATTGCAACCAGTCCGGTACCCACGAATGTAGTTCTTAAAAAAAATATGTAACTTTTATTTAAAATGGTGTAGTGTTATTATTACACAAGTTCTGTAACTGAATGTAGATTTATTTGAGAGGGTAGGCTTTCTAGTTTGAATTTCTGTAAAAATTTTGATTGATTTAAATGTAATCTGGCGTCAGTACATAGAGTAAATTGCCTAAATTCTAGCCTTTATTCTTCCCCGGAAGTAGACAGACTGACCCTGTTGTCAATCAAAACAAAATTTTGTAACGGAATGCCGGTCATGTGGCACTGAGATTGTACTAAGAAACTTCGAAACAAATGCCTAACATGAACCAGAAGTCCCAAGGTGGCTATCAAAATTATTTATTGAACAGCACCCCATTTATTTACTATGATTTTCAATGCGTTTCAATGGGGCAAATAATTAGGTCCCCGTTCCACATTGCCAAAAGGAAAGTGAAAGTAAATTTATCTATCTATAAAACATGTTTTGATTGGTTTAAGTTTTTCATTCAACAGTCATCTAGCCAATCAGAACACATGTAACATAATATGTATCATCTGAAGTCATGGATAACAGTATAGATTTTGCGGGAAAAATATTTTTGTGACGATCTTTTTGCTGGATTGATTCAAAGTCGCCACAGAAAAGTCACTCGCCAAAAGGGTGAGTTTTATTGAATCTGGACTCGCCAAACACAATTCTTACTCGCATTTGGCAAGTTGGCGAGCGGAGGTTTCACACACTGTTAGTTTAACCATGTCAAGTCAACACCTGTTATTTGTACATGTACTCAAGTCAAATGTAAAGTTCTTATCAGTGTTATTGCATCAAAAAGAAATATTGTGCAAACATTAGTATGCTGTTGTTCCCGACTTCAAATGAGGTACTGTCAGTTTACAGAATATTCAAACTTCGAGTTACAAAAGTATGAACATATCAAATTCTTTGCCCTTTATTCCAAAAAGGTTACCTTGATTGGCTTGAATGCCTTTAGTTAAGATATTTAAACTGGATAAATTTTTTTGGGAAGCTCTGATATGGATGTTTTGTTTCCTTGTAGTATATGTTAAAATCTTAATGCAGAAAACAACCTGTCTAGAGCTTGTATTTTTCTTTGACTATGAACAGACTTTATTTGCATACAATTCATTTTATTCTATAATATACTAGATCATAATTTCACTTGAAAATTGCAAATTCTTACGCTATCGGTTAGTATATACCTATCACTAAGGTTCATGCAAAAATCAATGTTTTTTTTAAATACATTAGTCATTATTTGTAATTCAAATTTTTGCCACAAGAATTAAGTTAATAGATCAGGACTATATACCAATATACTTATAGAAACCATATAAGCTTCACAAACACTTAAAATATACCTATCACTTAGGTTCATGCAAAAATCAATGTCTTTTAAATACATTATTTGTAATTCAAATTTTTGCCACAACAATTTAGTTAATGGATCAGAACTATATACCAAATTTTCCCTATCACAAATTTATAAGTTATTTACCCTTTTTTATATCCCTCTGACTTGGTGCATTTTTTCCCTCAGAGAAAGGTTGATGGATTTCAACATTCTTTGTATCTGTGATTTCTGTATTTTCTGAAATATTGAAATAAGATATATTTTACTTGAAATTGACTTATTTTCCAAGATATTATACAGTTATAATCTTCATCAAAAGTAAATATAAAATAAGAAAGTGTTATTTCTTTGAGGTCTGAAGGACCAAGGGAAAATAATGTTTTCAAGATTTATAACTGTGTATAATTTGGCAACCTGTTTTCTGCACACAGTTGGGTTTATTTTGAGTAATGATCTTGATATTTAATCATGGAATAAATAGGGATCTTCCTCTCATTATTTGTGACCATCTATGCAAGTTTGCATCCAATCCCGTGTTAAAATATAGATTAATAATCCACAAACACCTTTCCTGCACAAATTTCAGCCTAACCTTACTAACTTACCTTGACCATTGAAAATGTGACCTTAAAATCAATAGAGATAATTTTGCATTTCCACTACAGATGATGACAGATTGTGACTTCCTGTTTTCCAACCTTGTATTTAAGCTAAATCTTTCCTTTTTTTTTATCTCCTTTTAGAATGCCTAGTATCAATTGTGACAAAAAAGTACACAATTTCTCCTATCCTTAGATCAAATTTTATTTTGATTTTACACTATGCAATTGAATACCTTTTTTGGAAAAAGAGGACAACAAATCTAAATGAAAACAAGTGACAACAGTACCTGAATGTACCATCAGGAAACAAATCTTAAACAGATAAGTAAACAAAGAAGTTTCAAATCAGCTTCAAAATCAACAATTACAATCATATTTTCAATGTCATTAAATAAAACAAAGTTGTCATCTTTATTCTTCATAACTACAACTTATCATATATCCTCACCTGCAGGTGACTATGTGGAATCAACCCCTGCACAAGTCATTATAAAAATCATCTCATCAGACAACAAATTTCTGTGTTACACTTGTTTCTCTTACAAACAAGCTGAGTAATATGTATTACTCAGTGAGTAATGAGATACACCAGAATTCTTTTAAGGGCAATACCTCTAATAAACAGACAATTGTTTGAACTTGACAGTAGGTAAATCTTCACATTATGAGCATTTTTACCTTTGTTAAATTTTTCATATCTATTATTATTTTCAATTACATTAGCAGTACCACTTTTACTGCACCAAAGGTGTATTTTGACAATAAATGTCTCTTTGGTGATGCTGGGTGCCAAAATATTTGAAAATCCAAAACCTTACATAAACTTTGAAGAGCTGATTAAACCACAAAAGGACCAAAAGCATTGCTGTACCCAGACAAGAAAGCAGAGCTTTTCATGAAGGAGATATCAGACAAGAGTTCGCATGCTGAAATGTCCTACTGCTTTTGGTAATGATAATTGAATTTTATGTTGAAATTCTTTTACATAAAGGTATAACATAAACTAAACTTTATCAAAGATCTGTTGGTTATAGTATTTATGAAAAGATCTAACCACAAAAACTTAGCATTAACCAATAAACCACAAAAATCAGGTCAAGATAAGATGAACCCTGCCAGATGGACATTTACACCTTACAATCATTCTATACACCAAATATAATTGATTTATTGCTTAATGTATCTGAAAAACAGGCCAAATCACAAAAGCTTAACATTGACCAATGAACCATAAAAATGAGATTACTGTCAGAAGTATCTTGCCAGAAGGAAATTTGCACCTTACATCATTCATTACACCAAATATATTTCATGTTTTGCTTGTAACTTCTGAAATAAATGCATAACCAAAAAAAACTTGACATGGACCAATGAACCATAACAATGAGGTCAAATTCAGATGCACCCTGCCAGACTGACATATTCACCTTAGCATCATTCCATACACCAAATATAATTGACATATTGCTTAAAGTATTTGAGATATATTGACTTAACCAAGAAAACTTAATGGTGATCAAAGACACATGAAATGAAGTCAAGGTTAGGTGACTGAGTAAGAAGACCAGTTGCAAGAATCCCATATACCAAATATAGTTATCCTATTTCTTAAAACAAGAGATAATTTCATGTGAAAAAAACTTACACTATTTTAAGCAGTTGCGGAACAATAAAAATGAGGTCAGGGGACAGACAAAAACTTCACAACATAAGGCATCTGTATATAATTCCAGTAATGCAACTTTCATTGCAAGCAAGACAAAACCTTACAGTTTTTGAAGCAGTCCCTGAAGTTGGCCTGAACCATGATAATGTAATCAAGGACAACAGACATACATGCCAGATAGATACTTCAGAACAAAAGGCATTGGTGTATAAGATATGAAGTAAAGCTTTATACAAATAGTTTACCCCATCACCAGGACCCTATAATATCATCCCTATGTGTTGCATTTTGAGACATTCATTGCAAGTAAGACAAAAATTACTTGCATTTTATCATTCATATGTTACCTTTTTCCCATGGTGGCCATCTATATTAGTTGTGACATAAAAATTTATGCTACATACCCTAAAGATAATTCAAGGCATATTTTGTTAGTCCAGTAATGAAAATGAATAGTAAGAAATGTGAGGTATAAATCAATTAGACAGCAACTCAATTCAATTCAAATGATTCAACAACAATTACAATAATTCTATATGCTTTCTGTGTATGTGTATATGTTTTTTAAATAATAATATACACTTCATATAAAATGCAAACAAAATAAATATTAGTAGTCAGGCCATGCAATGTGCTAAGTGATCTAAGTTATGCACATATAGAAACAACATGCTTGAATGAATTGTTAAGTTGATAAATATGCATGATATTTCTTCACACTGTACAATAACTTGTACAATTGGAGTCTAAATCCACCTGACACAGTCAAAACCTACTGCAAACCAAACACTATTGAAAACAAATGTTATGTTTACTTGCAATTTTTGAACATGCTATTTATCTCCTCCGTATATCATACAGTAAGCATTTTTTTTGTGGCAAACACTTCATTAATTATGGAAGTAAGAATATATCTTTTATGATACATTAATTGAATGAAGAGCATTGTCATGGTGTGTTTGGTGAACATGATCGCTGACTCCAATGATACTGATCAGCTGTAATGTGTATTCTATTTTTTTCTGAATATATACTGATTGATAACTTAAGGATAAACTTGTATAGGTATACCTCAATTTCTATATCCTACGAAGAAAAAAAACGTAGACAGCACATTAAGTGTATAAACTAATGTTAAGCCTTTAAAAGATCATAACATTTTATTTGAACAATGTTGAAGCACTGTTTTCCAAGTAATCACATAATCTCTGTTATTTCTCTTTGCATATAAGATGTTGGCACAGTATATTTCACCTTCTATTAAATAAAAATTATCTTTGTTACTTGATCTTGATATCTGATTATCTGAACCATTATTAGGAGCCAGGATAAAATTTTCTTCTTCATGTATATCAATTAGGACTGGATTTTCTGAAAAGAAATATCTTAACATGAGAAAATTTCTATTTATTTCATTTTATGTTTAGTAAGAAAACATTACCGGTAATCCTTAAATATAAAAATATGAATCTAAAGTTGTGAGAGTAGTCTAAATAGCCAAATTGGCTTGTTCTTTCTAATATTTATGTGGTTTTGAGCATTTCTGATGCAAAATCATTTGGTTTTATCTATTTAAGTAGAGGTCTTTTAATTAAAGATATTTTATAGAGTATGTGAGGAAGGAGGTAGTGATAAACTGAGTCTGATCACTGAATAACTAAAATCCAAAATTTAAAAATAAATTATACAAAAATAAGTAAAACAGGTCATGTACAGTGCCATAACATACCAAAAGGTTGTCTGAAAATATCAATTTCACCAATCATAAGGAGTTGCTAAGAGAACAGGCTATGATGGACTATGTAGGGTTAGACAGAGTATAAAAACATAAGATATGCAACTCGAAGTATAACATTGCTAAATCTTTTTTTAATTCTGTTTAAAAATGAGTCCATTATTAAAATGAAAAAGAACATTGTTTAAGTGTCATTGACAACTTAAACTAACATTCTTCTTTAAATGAATGATCTTACCTTGAAAGGGAAAACATGCAGTTTCTATAAGCCTATACATACATGCAATGAAAAATTCGTAAGGGTTCCGCGGTGCCCAGTGTCTCGCCTACATTTGCTGTTAGTTGCAGGCTCAACAAAAATGGGGAAATAATTATTAAAAAATTTCCTCTAGATACTATCTTTTGATTGTAAGAAGCTTCTGTTCAAGTTTGGTAAGAATCCAGGATGGTTTATGAATCTAATAAATGTTGTAAAAACTTTAACTACAGACTGTATGTAATGTTAACTGGAAGAAAAACTAAGTCCATTTATAAGTAATATACGGAAAAAAATTTCCTTCTAGATACTAGCTTTTGATCATAAACAAGCTTCTTTCCAAGTTTGGTACAAATCCAAGATAGTTTAAGAAAGTTATTAAAATTTGAAAAACTTTAACCACAGAGTGAATGTTATGTTAACTGGCAGAAAAACTAAGACCATTTATGAGTAAAATACGAAAAAACAGGATTTTTTTTTACAAAATTTACTTCTGGATACTATCTTATGATCATAAACAAGCTTCTGTCCAAATTTGGTAGAAATCCAGGATAGTTTAAGAAAGTTATTAAAATTTGAAAAACTTTAACCACAGAGTAAATATTTGTGGACAACGCCGCCGCTGACGGAATGTAGGATCACAATGTCTCGCTTATGCGACAATAATATTGCAAAAAAGACTCAAGTAAGTATCAGATAAGGTGATGATTTTTAATTTAAAGATCATAACAGCCAATTAATAATAATGCTCATTGTTGCAATAGTCGAAACATTCTCAAGATAAATACATATGCAAAGATGAAAATCACCCTCACCATGTTGACTTTTAACATTTCAATGTTAATTCCAGAGGTTAAAAAAAAATCCATGTTATTAAGGTGAAGTATATGTAATTGGGTATTATTTTATATTTTTATGGAGTTCTGTACACAGTATGAATTTAAGGCATGTTGAACTGCATCTGAATGTTATAAAAACTGTAAAGATTCCATGGATCCCTGTATCTGATCTATGATTGCTACTGTCAGTTAAACTAGAGGCTGTGTCACTCACCTTGGTCTATGTGCATATTCAACAAAGGACACTCTACAACATTGTAGACGAGAATAGAATTCATAACAAAAATCTGTTTTGCTGATCTTGTATTGCTGATCATTTAGTCTGTTTAGTTTCTCTCAATCTTCCTTAGTTCTTTGCTCAAAACACAAAAGAGGGTAAAACAATCCTCATTTAAGGCCAATCACTCCTATAAAGAGTGACAGTCTACTAATTATGTCGACAAATTTTGATTTGTTAGTAGATCTTGCCTTACTGATCATTTTTGTGATTTAAAGTGTCTATTTATCTATTATAATTTTTTATCATATATGGCAAAACACAAAAAACTGGTAAAAATCATCATTAAAGGGCAATTAATCTAATAAGGAGTCATCAGACGATTTCCTCCATTTGTCTTAATTGTAGATCTTGTCTTGCTGATTATTTTTGCTTATTGAAGTTTCTATCTATCTATTATAATTTTTATCATATAAGGCAAAATGCAAAATAAATGGTAAAAATCATTATTAAAGGGCAATAACTCCAATAAGGAGTCGTCAGACAATTTCCTCAAATTTTATCTTAATTGTAGATCTTGTCTTGTTGACCACTTTTGCTTATTTAAGTTTCCATCTATCTATTATAATTTTTAAGAAACAAGGCAAAAAAAAAAATATTGGTAAAAATCGTCATCAAAGGGCAATAACTCTAATAAGTAGTCAACTGACGATTTTGACCATGTAGATTTATTTGTGGAACTTGTCTTGCTAATCATTTTTGCATTTAAAGTTTCTATCTATTACAGTTTTCAAGATCATAGGCAAAAATGAAAAAAAATGGTAAACTTTGTTATTTAAGGGCAATAACTCCTATAAGAAGTCATCTGACAGTTTTGAGGTATAGACAATTGGTAGAGCTCAACATTCTGAACAATTCTGCCCTTGTCAGACTTTCTCTATTTATAACGGTTTTCAAAATAATAGACAAAACTTACATTTTACCCCCATATGTTCTATTTTTAGCCGTGGCAGCCATGTTAGTTGGTAGGTGGGGTCATCGGACACATTTTATAAACTAGATACCCCAATAATGATTGTGGCCTAGTTTGGTTAAATTTGGCCCAATAGTTTCAGATGAGAAGATTTTTGTAAAAGTTAACGGACGATGAAGACGGATGACAGACGCCAAAGTGATGAGAAAAACTCACTTGCCCCATTGGGCCTGTTGAGCTAAAAATGAAATGTTGACTGCAAAAAAAACCTCCAAGATAGTTTGACAAAGTTACTGAAGTCTAAACAAGTTGAACTGTCAGTTTTTATTCTCTAATGCCCCCTCCTTCACTAAGGTTTGGGTAAACATGAAACTGACGAGGGATTGATGTGAAATGCATCACAAGGTATAACTTGGTTTGGTATTTCCTGAGATAAAAACATACAATAATTTCACACGTGGCAATTATGAGTAACAATATATAAAGTGCTCAGTAAACATGGTAAACAGGAAGCTGACGAGCCATGTATGTGTTGTGGATTGTTATCTCATTGGCAATCATGCTGCATCTCCTTATTTCATTAAAAGCAGGTCATCCCATTGTAGTCTTACAATAGTTACTGAAGACCCCTTATCATTATTTAAATAAGTTTTCAAGTTGTGACCATTTGAAATTGGTTTTTTTTACAATTTTCCTTAGACTTCTATAGTAAACCCCTATGTTCTATTTTTAGCCATGATGGCCATGTTGGTTGGATGACCAGGTCATCGGATACATTTTTCAATCAAGATACCCTATTGAAAATTGTGGTTAAGTTTAATTCTATTTGGCCCAGTAGATCAAGTTGAATATAAAGGGCAATAACTCCTTAAGGGGTCAATTGACAATTTTGTTCATATTTGACTTATTTGTAGATCGTACTTTGCTGAACATTATTGCTGTTTACAGTTTATCTCTATCTATAATAATATTTAAGATAACCAAAAACTGCAAAATTTCCTTAAAATTACCAATTCTGGGGCAGCAACCCAACAACTTGTTATCTGAATCGTCTGAAAATTTCAGGGCAGGTAGATCTCAACCTGATAAACATTTTTACCCAAGTCAGATTTGCTCTAAATGTTTTAGTTTCAGAGATATAAGCCAAAAACTGCATTTTATCCCTATGTTCTATTTTTAGCCATTTCCGTCATGTTGGTTGGCAGGCTGGGTCATCGGACACATTTTTAAACTGCATACCCTAATGATGATTGTGGCCAAGTTTTGTTAAATATTGCCCAGTAGTTTCAGAGGAGAAGATTTTGCAAAAGTTAATGGACGACGGACGAAGACGTACACCAAGTGATGAGAAAAGCTCACTAGGCCCAGTGGGCTAGGTGAGTTAAAAAATGATAAAGGTTACACAGAACCTTGTGTCTCTCCTAGGATTGCAGCTGTCACTGTAAAAATGTAATGGAAACTGCCAAAAAGTAAAATCTCATTTTATCAGTAAAATTAAAAAAATGTATTTCCAGAATTTTGCTTCAGATGTTATTTCTGTGATGATAATATCAATAAAACAGGCAATCAAGCCAAAGAAGTGCATGAAACGGCATTAATTAAATACCATAGAAAGTAGGGCAGTCCACTTACATTTGGGAATTCACGAGAATAGAAACGAATCTTTAATTATCTCCTTCTAATTTTGATGACTATTAAAAGTTGTTAAATCAGTTGCAATAATTTGAATGTGAATTGTTCTACTAGTCTGCGTATCAAGATTTGATTCTTTTTTTTTTGTCATCATAAACAGTATTGGATAGTACTTTCCCGTTTTACTATATACTTTTTATTTATGCTATAAACTGTAATGGCCCGTTCATGTTCAAAATGGTCCATTAAAATTTATATGAGGGAGAACTTGGCACATAGAGACAAAATCTTTCCAGATCATTGCATACAGACTTAATGGAGATGATTAAAACAAAAAATAAAAGAACAGAGTTCCAATGTCCCCCGCGTTGCACATATTTTATCTATCCAGTGGCAATAAATAAAAATAAAAACTGCTTCGCTGAGCGCAGCTGGATACGCCCGCAGAGGTCCAACCCTGAACAGTTGGGGCAAAAATGGACACAATATTCAAGCTTGATACAGGTCTGAATTTGGATTGTATTAAATATTTGACATATTATAGGTTTCTGAATAAATATAGTCAAAGAACTTGAAATTGATTATATGAATTGAATTTATATTCAATTAAAGATTTCTTGCTGTTGTGCAATACACTGTGCTGTTGCACAATACTTAGTAAATCTGTTGTCAGACTATAAACAATTAAAGTTCAATTAATTCTCAATGTCATATTAGAA